TGTTTTACCTCTTTTAAAATATCTACAATTTTATTATTTGAATTATATAATTTTTTCAATACAACATCTTTTCTATCATATATATTAGACCACTTTGCCTTATTGACTTCACCAAAATTACCATTAGCTAGTGGCAGTGATTGTATGTAACCACTGCCGCCATGCTTTTTAAATAACTAGAGTGATGACGAGTGGCGATTGTTTCATTTTGTTTGCTTCTTTTTCTTTTCTTGTCATCAAACGACATTTTGAAATCTTTAAAAAAAAAAGTTTGTGATTTAATCGACGCGTACACATCAATTATTTATCCTATTACTATTGGTTTTTTTTTTTGGTAGGACAGATGCGAATTGATTTTTTTTTTTTTTTTTGGGAAAAACAATTTATTTTTTGACAGAGTCCAAGGTGACAAAACGTGAGTGTTGTTGTTTGGTTTGGGCCTCCTAAAGAAACGTGTTAATAACTAACCGGAGGTACTATTTTTTATTTGCATTGATATAATGTGGTATCTTTTTTAGTTTATAAATATTTTAATTGAAATCAAAACGCGGAGCAGATCATTACAAGATTTTCATTGATAATATTTTGCTTTTCGTAATCAATAATATTAATAATAATATTATATTTATTATAATTACAAGATGTCAAGGCAGCATAACTGACTACTATGTTCACATGAAAATCCTGTCTAAATTGTGATGATTATTCCAAGTTTGGTTGGTCTCGTATAGCTTACAATCTCTCTCAATGATGATGATAATATACTTGCGATAAAAATCATTACAATTCATTTTAATTAATCCATTGGATTAGATTTATTAGGATGTTTTAATCATAGTAATGATGATGATAATAAGGACAAGTATTAACAAACTTCAATCAATTAATTAATTCGTCATTTAAAAGGATAGTTTCTCTAAAAATTTTCATGAAATGCAACAATCGTATTTGTCTATCTAGTTGAATATTTGGATTTTTGTTAGTTGTCATTGATGATGTTGTTGTTGTTAGGGGTTTCAATGAATTAGGAACGATTGGTTCAATTAACTTTAATTTATCTGTATTATCTATTTGTAGAGAGGGAAAAATGAAAAACAATATGTAAAAGCATACGCACAAAAGTAAATGATTAAATGAATAATTAAAGGAAATGTTTTGTTTACCTTGTTTTTCATAAACTACTTTCCACTCATTTAACAAATTAATATTTTTATCATCCATATCATTATCACTTCTCTTCAACAAATCCACAATACCTTCCCATATCCATTTTTCAATCAAAAAAGGATTTCCGTTTGGACCGTCAACAAAGCTTGTAATCAATTGCCAAAAAAATGTATTTAATTGAGATGTTATTATCATATAACCGATCATTAAACAATATTTTAATTTAAGAGTATTATTCTTTGAATCTGATAAAATCATTTTATCAATAGAATTTTTTATTATCGATGAATGGTGATGATGATATTTTGGAGATGGAAATGGAAATAAGTGAATTTGTTTCTTGATAATATTTGTAGTTTTTGTATTTGCTGATCCAATCGTATCATAAAAAAAAATATTATTTAATAAAGGTATATTATAATCCAGTGATGTTGTTCTAATTGGAGAAGAAGGTGGCGGTAATGATGATGAGTAAGAATTATTGTTATTAAGACCATTTAATAAAATTCGATTAAATTCTTTTTTTGCTTCATGACCACCATACCAATCACTGGTAAAAATACGTTTCCAATACCAGTCTCTTACTAAATTTACCCAATTTTGATATTTACTATCATTAATTGTTGTGTTGACGCAGTTGAATTTATTGTTCGAAAAATTAAAGAATAATTGGAACAGTAATGATAAATCATTGCAATCCCAAGACTTCTTAAAATATCCAATTATTAATGCACGGAATAAATTTTGATTGATTAAAATATCTGTGAAAAATGAATAATCGTGTAGTTTTAAGATAATTTCTTTATGAATAGCAGCAGAATCATTGTTATTTGGAGGGTAAAGTTTGATTGGATGTTGGGTATTTGTAGAAGGTAGATGAATGGTAATTTTGATTGGTTCTGGGAATTTGGAAATAAGATTATTCAAATACTTGACGACTAAATCCTTTGCATACCTAATAGAAAATAGAATTAATAATCTCTTACTATAGTGATATATAACAAAGACAATAATAAAGAAATGACTTACGAATCAATCAATTTTGGTTCTAGTTTTACAATAGTTTCTTCAAATGGTATAGGTCGATGAAATATTCCCAATTGTTTTTTAAAATGTAATTTATAGGCTTCTTTAAGAATGCGTGGTACTGTCAAGAATATTTCAAAAGGATATGTAATTATAGCATATAATAAACTATTTTTTGTCAAGTTATATGATTGGCCTGTCAAGACTGCGATAAATTTTTTATGAAATTGCAATTTCTTTAATTTCTCTGAAACATCTTTAACATTATTAGCATTGTTATTGCCTTGGACATTATCTTGACTATTATTTTCTTGATTAGCTTGACATTTTACAAAATCTGCATCTTCATCTTCTTCATAATCTTCGTCGTGTTTATAAATATATGTTTGTTTTGAATTTGAGTGTGGTGCATACATGACAAATTTTATGTCTAAATAACCAGATAATCGGGGATCTTTACAAAATGCTTTATAAATCCCTTTACGATCGTTATATGGAGACACATGAAATGAACGTTTTACTATAAATCCCATTTCATATCTATTAATGGAAAAAAAATTATTACTATTGTTATTATTATGATGATGTTAAAAACTGGGATGATTTTTATTTTTTGCATACCCCAATCTTTTAGCTTCATGGTCTTTTATTTGATCCCTTTTTAAAACATATAAATGTTTTTCGCCAAATGTATTACTGACTTCTAAAATGATTACTTTTAAATTATTATTTTTATCATAACAATAAAAAATGCTGATAGGATTAAACGCATAACCTAAGAATCTTGGCATCGTAATTAATTCTATATGATTTATATCATCTGTTGGGATGTTCTATTAAATGTCATAACAAAGATGAGATGAAAATAACAAACATGGTGATAATAAAGGTAAAGATTGAATTAGAAATAAGAATGATTATTGTAATTATGACAATTGTGATACTATGATATTATAATTTATTTCCTACATGATTTCTTATATGCCATAAAGCCTTTTCTTTTATAGATATTATTTTTCTTTGTCCATTTGTACCATTTATACTATTTGTATTTGGTAATTCTTCAATAATTTGTCCAAGATGATCATCATCTTTAATATTAAAGATTGATAAATACTTATTATTATAACCAAGCCTTTTTAAAAGAAAGAGATAAAGTATTTTTTCGTAAGTGATTAATATTTTTTATCATAAATAACAAATGAACCTACAAAAAATTTTTTCTTTCTTTTTCAAGTAAATTCAAATCAACACCGGCAAAAACCACAGGATATCTAAACGAATGATAAACAGGAAAAAATCTCGAATGAAAAGTTTGACAAAAATAAATCCTATGGTTGTCTTTGATTACTGTTGAATTATGATTATCATAATTAGTTGTTGTAATTAACGAATTTTCAAGATACTTGTAAATTAAATTTAACAAGTGTTTTGCAACAAAAGCAATTAATGTTATTTCAATTACATTAACCTTTGGCAATGTGCTTGATAAATAATATGTTATTATTATTACTATAATTATTATAATTGATGATTTCATTTTCTATTTTAGGGTCAAATTTTAAACCTCCTGACAATTATTTTTTAAAAAAATATCGATCCTTTCCTTTTATATTATCATTAATTTAAATTTAAACCTGAGGTTTAAACCGAATTCGCGTGATCTGAAAATAAAAAAAGCAGATCTTTGAATCATTATTATTATTATACAGATTGGTTGGATTTTTTTTTTGTCAATAATATATTTGATCAGAAGGTACCTTTATTGTTAATTAATAAAGAAAAAACAATATGTGTGATTAAATTATCATTGATAGGAGGTTGGGTTAATGCTGATCCGCATTTAAAAATGTTAATAACAATAATGCATATAGATAAATGTAAATATTTATCAATTCCTGCCACCTCTGTTCCATACGGAAATTTGGCATCATTCAATCTATCTATATAACAAATCTGTTTATATAATATTAATAATAATAATATTAATAATAATAATAATAATAATAATAATAATAATAATAATAATAATAATAATAAT